AACGATGTACAAATGCGCTTTACACAATTGATGTGTGTATGGATTGGGATAACAGTTGTATGAGCCCCTAATAAAATGTTTAAAAAAAAAAGCGTTGGCTCACTTTCTCAAAAAACTCAGAATAAGATCTTATCATTCTTGTTATTACATTGTTAGGTGCCACTGACTTGGTTTTGACCCATAGCGACTCTATGCCCACAGAACTAAACACTGCCTGGTTCTGTGCCACCCTTCCCATTGTTCCTGTACCTGAGCCCATTGCCATAGCCACTGTGTCAATCCACCTCGTTCGACGAGGGCCTTCCTCTTGTCCAGTGCCCTTCCACTATACCAAGCATGATGTCCCTCTCCAGGGACTGGTCTCTCCTGACATTACGTCCAAAATAAGTGTGACAAAATCTTGCCATCCTTGCCTCTAAGGAGCACTCCATGATGTCCCTCTCCAGGGACTGGTCTCTCCTGACATTACGTCCAAAATAAGTATGACAACATCTTGCCATCCTTGCCTCTAAGGAGCACTCTGTCCATACTTGTTCCAAGACAGATCAATTTGTCCATTTAGCAGTCCCTGTTACTTTCAATATTCTTTGCAAGGACCACAATTCAAATGGATGCATTAGTCCATCTTCAATGTCCAACTTTTTCATGCATATGAGGCGATTGAAAATACCCTGGCTTGTGTCAGGCACACCATAGTTCTCAAAGTAACATCCTTGCTTTTCCAAAGAGCAGTACTCTAAAGAGGTCTTGTGGAGCAGATGAACGAGTGGAACTCATCGTTTACATCTTGACTGCTGTTTCCATGAGCATTGATTGCGGATTAAAGCAAGACAAAATTCTCGACTTCAATCTTTTCTCCATTTATCATGATGTTACCTACTGGTCTAGTTGTGAGGATTTTGGTATTCTCTACATTGAGTCTCAATTCATATTGAAGGCCCTAATCCTTGCTCTTCATCAGCAAGTGCTTCAAGTCCTGCTGACTTTCAGCAAGCAAGGATGTGTCAGCTACATATCACAGGTTGGACTAAGAAAATCCAAATGCAGAGTCTGGATCATCTAATTAGTCAGAGGTTGCATCAGAAGAGAAGTCACCAATTTTGCTGAGGCCAGTCCTGACATCCACACGGTGGCACTGCCTCCATCCTACCTTGGTGCTCCGCAGAGGCTCAAGGTGTATAGGAGTCTATCACTTCACAGCTTAACTACATCTCAACACTGAGTTAGTGAGACCAGTTGGCTCGGTGGTGTAGTGATTATGCATTGGGCTGCTAACAGCACGGTCAGCAGTTCAAAGGCACCAGCCACTCTTTGGGAGAAAGACTGGGTGTTCTTTTCCTGTAAAGAGTTAGTCTTGGGAATTCATGGGGTCACTGTGAGTTGGCACTGACTGCGTGTAATTGAGTTGGGTTTTTTGGTTTTTGGAGGAGTCCAAGGTGACCTGTCACCCATCTCCCGCCTCTGAAAAGAAGGCCGTGAAGGAATAGGGACTTGCGTTTTCCACAGACCAGCTGCGAGCTCAGTACCTGCAGAGAGTGTCTGTGGTCCTCATGCCCTTTTCTGACGTCTTCAGACTGCCGCTGGTAGTTTTCAAATAATCTCTGTGCCACATTTCTCAGAGCTGCTGCCCCAGCTTCTCTGGATGCTTCCAGCTAGGGAAGAGGGGGAAATGTGATTTTATAAGGATTTTTATGTTAATGATTGAAAGGGTTACAGGTAGAAGCGTTTGATGGGCAATGAAACCCACTGAGGGTGTACCTGTCTGAATGGCACCATCAGAAATGACAAATAGGAGAAAAACTGCATTTGGTGGCAGGGAGATTTGTCCCTGCCAGGCCAGGGCAGAGTCCACAGGTACCATGCCCTCCAGTGATAGACAATACCCTTCGAAGAGCTCGACGATGCCCTGCCAACTTGGCTCACTTCTCTGAAAATGTGAATGGTTACAGCCATGCTAAAGGAAGAATGTCCCAAGAAGAGAAGTGAGACAAAGCTGGAGGAACAAGAAAAGCAAAGCTACCATGTCATGAATCTTTCAAGGGTTTAACCTGAGGAACTAGCCCAGGACGACCGTCAAGATTTCCCTACCAAGATTTTCACTGCAATATTGCATGCAACACACACAGGGGATGGGGGGGCAAAGGGAGACTGCGCAGCCACAGGAGGTTCGGGAAACAAGTGGGGGATCTCCGACGATGAAGGCTACAATTTCTATTCATTCAATATGGGAACACTTCTATGATTTCTGAGACGAAAAGGTAGCCCCCAAAATAAAACAGTGAACTGCAAACAGCTACAATGTAAACATGCTTCTCTAGAGAGCAGGACATTTGTGTGGATCTGTGTGAATATGTGTGTGTGTGTGTGTGTGTGTGAGTGTGTGTGTGTGGGTGGGTGGGTGGGTGTAAGTGTGTGGTTGTGTGAGTGTGTGTGTGTGAGAGAGTGTGTGGGTGGGTGTGAGTGTGTGGTTGTGTGAGTGTATGTGGGTGCGTGAGAGTGTGTGTGTGAGTGTGAGTATGTGGGTGTGTGTGAGTGTGTGTGGGTGTGTGGGGGGTGTGGGTGTAGACGCCCTCTACTTTTCAGATCCGTGAGCGCTAACAATTGATCCTATTGACTCAAAAGCTCAACGTGCAAGATTGAAAATGTCTCTTATGTGCCTACCTTGATTTTCAATACTTCATTCTCTCTGTTCATTTCTAGGAGCTGTAGCTCTTTTCCTCTCATCCTTTCCATGAGTCGATCCAACGTGTTCACACCAGAGGGGCCCACTTCAGAGCCAGAGCCATTTTGACAGCGCTGAAATGAACAAACATGAAAATAATAGACCTTTCCTCTACAAACCTTGACAACAATAATGGTTGCCCTGTCTTACACAAAGAAGTTTTAGTGGCACCACAGCTAACCAAAAAAAAAAGATTTATGGCTTGAACCCACCAGTCAATACAAGGAAGAAAGATGTGTCTGGTTCCCTAAAGGTTTATAGGTTTAACTATTGGCCTTTCACTGCGTGGCGGAAAGAAGAGGAATAAAAATCCAAAGCACATGAGAGCACTGAGCTCAGTGGGCCATGTCAACATCAGTCCCCATGGCCTGAGACCAGAAGAGCTAGATGGTGTCTAGCTACCAGCACTGACGGCTCTGAAAAGGATTACATTAGAAGATCCTAGAAAGAATGTGAGGAAAAGATGGAACAAAGCTCATAATAATGAAAGAGATCAAGCTTACTTACTGGTCAGATAACGGCTGGTGGAACCTCTAAGACTGTTCCCCTTAAACACCTTTCAGGTCTACAACTGAACTCTCTCTGTAGCTCAATTTTCATCCAAAGAGTAGCAGGTCAATGGGGGAATAATAACAGTAAGGAAGTACTTACATTGTAGATGATAGTTCTCAACCTTCCTAATGCCACACCCCTTTAATACAGCTCCTCATGTTGGGGTGACCCCAACCATAACATTATTTTCATTACTACTTGGTAACTGTAATTTTGCTACTGCTGTGAATCGAAGGACCCCTGTGAAAGGCTCGTTCAACCCCCACAGGGGTCATGACCCACAGGTTGAGAACCGCTGCTGTAGACTGATCAACCATTTGAGATCAAAGGGCAACATTTACCCAAGAACGAAGTTCAAAAGTGTTAGAAAAGAAGGAGGAATAGAAACAGGAAACTCAAGGAGGAAGTGAGATAAGTGATGTTCTACGGAGGATATGGCAATGAATGAGATGAAACAAAATGTGTATAAATTGCTCAATGTAAAGTGGTTGAACTTCTCTGTGTACCTCCCCCCAATTCACAATAGAAAGATTAAAAAATACTACAGCCTTTCACACCCTATGGGGCAATTCTACATAATCCTGTAAGTTCACTATGAGTCAGTATCAACTCAATGGTGATCAGTTTGGTTATAGTTCTTAGAAATCAACTCATTGTTGTATTACAACCATAGCATTCCCTATAACTTCAAAGATAGGATTAAGCCCTGTTTCCAAAGCAAAACCAGTCATTTCCATGGACTCAATTACAATGATGTTGCATTGGAATCACCTCATATCAAATTTCCAATCAGAGATACCAGACCTGGGTGTTGCGGTCAATCCAACTACAATGCAGATTCCGAATCAGCAGCTGGAGGGGAAGGTACCAAATGGTGCACGGCAACAACCCCTTGGTGATGGGATGCTTTTGGAGCTGTAGACCCCACTCTGAGTAGCAAGGCCTTAGATCATTATTGCTGAATCCCTACAGGGCAGTGCCATCATACTGATGGGGAGGAAGACAATATTGGATACTAAGGGAATATGATGATCTTCCATGGATACAGCTACCGGGGTCAGATGCACTGGAAACACATGCCATCTCAACTCCTAAGAATCTGCTGTCAACCTGGCCACCAACATCCTCTACTTGACTCTACCCAATGGTCGAGTCTCAGTCCTCAATTTGCTTGGCCCATGAATACCATTACATGTGATAGAGTGGTCCCTCCCACCTTTCAGAAACCTTTCCGTCACTTGCCTGCTGAGATTCCACTCTCTCCTATTTTTCCTCCCACCTCACAGGCTACTCTGCACAGCCTCCTGTTCTGATTCTCCTTCCACAAATCGAAACACTGAAAACTCTAACCCACAATCCTCAGAGAAAATGTCCTCTCTTTTCTACTCACATTTACTCACATAACGGTCTCCTCTTGTGATGAAACATTCCATACATTCAGCCATGAACATCTTTAGCTACTTCTAGCATATTTCGGTGCTCATTATCTAAAGCTTGAGATAATCATTGATAGCTGCCCCCTCCCCCAAGTTAAAGAATATCTATGCCATTTTAAGTTTCTTTCCGAAGAAATGAAAGCGGTAGAGGTATATGCGTGCATTACCTTTGCATCTCTTACGTTATTTGCATTGCTAGGTCCCGCTTCATCTTTAAACATTTGATTTCGGACCTTTTCCAGAGTAGTTCGAATCTAGAGGGGGGGAAATTTTTCAAAGACGTGTAATAGCAAAATGTTTTTTCTTCTACTAACTATTGTTTGATCTATCTGGAAAGTAATCACTTTATACTAACCTTCAAGTTTCAGTAACCTTCAAGCTAATTTCCATTTAGACTAATACTGTTTAGATCACACACACAAAATAAGCATCTGGTCTTTACAATTCTTTCTTGGTCAAACCTAAAATAGGATAAATTAATATTATACTACAAAATATAGCCATAAGGAGCCCTGGAGGCATAGGGCTTACAGGTTGGGCTATGATCTGCAAGGTCCATAGTTTGAAACCATCATCTGCTCCATGGGAGAAAGATGGGGCTTTCTTCTCCAGTAAACAGCCACAGTCTCAGGCACTCAAAGGCAGTGTCACCTTGTCCCACAGGGCAGCTATGAGGTGGGATTGACTCATAGCAGTGAGTCTGAGATTGTGAGTTTTGAAATGTAACCACAAATGATTATTCCTGATTAACTAATATATAATAGCATTTCATTCTTTTTCAATGTAATAATTTAGCACTTATTTAGTAATTAATATAAAACAATTGCTATCTAGTAATTACTTCAAAATAATTACTACCTACTAACGACTGCAGCAGAACTACTATAACTAATTAGTAAAAATGAACTGCTATTTAGTAATTGCAACAGAATAATTACTAAGAGGGGATGATACAAATGTATGTGTAAAAGGTTGGTTCCATGTCTTGGTAACCTAGAGAAATGCAAGACACTGGCAGATGAATTCATTGATTAATCTAGACAAGTTACCAATTGCCATGCCAGAATTTTTCCATCTGTCTTAAAAAACAATGAAGAGAACATAGAATTTGGTCAGCTATTACCATCTTGGATTCTCACAAGATTTCACATTTTAAAATCAAGTAGCCTGCCCATATCTACTCAATGGCACGGCCTTCCCTGAACTGTGAAAAGGAACATGGTAACAAGAGACACAAACGCAGCAGGAGCACAAGCATCTACTCAGGAACACAGTACCAAGCACACGAGACAACTGGGAGAGGCTGTAAAATAGCAGGCGACCCGGTGGTGAACAGAGCGGGGTGAATTCAGTGCTTATAGGTGTTCTCAACCCTCCTGGCTGAGTTTTCAATTTTACTGAGTGAAAAACATCCTCTTACTCCATGTGTAAGATGAAGCGCGTGGGGTTTCATGACCTCAAGAGAACTGATAAACAGGCACCCCAACTTCAGCTACAAAGAACATCCTTTCTCAAGTGTGAGTCACAGGGAAACTGAGCACACCGATCCACAGGGGAACTCGCCTCTGCCAGTCAAACAACACTGCATGATCTCGCCATCACCCACGTACCTTTTTCACATACTCGGTCTCTTCAATGATGCGAGCCGATGTGGACTCATACAAGGCAGAGTTCTCTTTGGTCCTGGTCCTTGGGGCAACTTCTGTGGTCACTGTGACTGTTGCCATTGTGGAGAGGTCAAATCCTGGCTTCAGGAAAACATAAATCAGTTAGGGAGCACTGGTTTCTTTGGCCATGAGTTTTTATGTGATGTAACCTGGCCGGTAAGTGCTGGGCTGCCATGGACAAGGTCTGCAGTCCCAGAGACCAACAATCACTCTGCTGGAGTAAATGAGGCTTTCTACTTCCATAAAGAGTTAAAGCAACAGCAATCTAGCGGAGAGGAAGTACTAAGAGGCAGAAGAAGGCTGAGTGTGATGGCGGGGTAGGAGGAAGGTAAAAGGAAACAGGAAAGACCTAGGAAGCAAAGCTACAGACAGAGGTATAAACATAGGTGTGTATATTTGTAAGTAAAGTAAATCACAAAAATAGAGGTATTGCCCTATGTACTTATATCTATATGGCAATACACTGAGGTAGGGGATGGAGTTTGGGCCTCTGCTCAAGCCTTTCCTCAATGCAAGAACATTTTGTTCTAACAACCTGTCATTCTGTGATGTTCACCCTCCTGGCATGATCACTGGAGACAAAATGGTGCACAACCAAATGTAGTGAAGAAAGCAGATGGTACCCGGCTGTGGTAATTACGTAATCTGGTGTCAATTTGGGACTTGAGAGGATTAAGAGTGAAGAGTAGAGTCTAGTCTGTCAATCAGATCATAGCCAATGGGGCCTCGGTGTAGGCGTGGCCTACTCCTGAGAATTCTGGGAAGTCCTGTATTTTCCTCCTTGGAGACAGGAGACACCTCTCTCTCTCTGCTCACCCTCTTGGAGATGCTCTACTGACAAGACCAGTGGCGCTACGCTCTGGGAGCTGGAGAATCCACATGGACCTACCCTGATGCAACCAGACCTCTCAAGCCAGAGAAGCTACGTGGAGACCCCTGTCAATGCTGAGATGCTTACAACACCACTGGATCCACGAGACTTCCAACCCACGGGCCTGTGATTCTCCTGCATTTGGCATCATTGCAGGTGTTTTGTGAGTCTGAAGAGGACTTTATAGATTGGTATCGGACATATAGGCTAATATTGGACTTATGGACTTGATCTGGACTGGGCTGGGACATTTTCTCAATATTCAATTGCTCTTGTCTATAAACCTCTTTCTTATATACATATGCGTATCTATGAATTTGTTTCTCTAGTCTACCTGGGCTAGCACACCAGCTATCAAAAGACATAGCATCTGGGGTCCTAATGGTTTGAAGTTAAATAAGTGACCATCTAGCAGAGAAGCAACAAGCCCACATGGAAGAAGCACACTAGCCTGTGTGATCATGAGGTGTCAGTGGGATCGATAACAGGCATCAGAAGACCCCAAAACAAACAAACAAACAAACAAACCCAAAACACTATATTGTTGGAAACGAGGGGGATCAGAGCAGAGACCGAAAACCCAACTGTAGACGATGGGACATTCCCTTACAGAAGGGTCACAAGGAAGGAATGGGTTGACCAGGGCACAGCATAGCACCGATGAAGCACACAATATTCCTCTGGTTCCTTGAGGTTTCCTCACCCCCACTATCATGACCCCAGTCCAGCCTTTCACTGTGGCCTAGACCAGAACAAGTGCACAAGTACAGCTAAGAGCTCATAACACATGGAATCTAGGAACAGCAACGGGAGTCGCAATACCAGGAGGGTACTGGGAAGGTGGGGAGAAGAGGGGAGGAAGGGGGAACCAATCACAATGATCAACACATAACTACACATACCCCCACACCAGGGGGATGAACAATAGAAATCATGGGGGAAGGGAGACAGTGGTTGGTATAAGATAGGAAAATAATCATAATTTATCAAGGGGTCACAAGGGTGGGAGAGGGAGATTGAAGCAAAAAAGAGGAGTTGATACCAAGGGCTCAAATAGAATGTAAATTTTTAGAAAATAATGATGGCAACATATGTACAAATAAGCTTGATACAATTGAAAGGTAGCCCAGGATAACATATATTTACTATTTTCATGTCATACTTGCTTTCTCAAGTAGTCATCTGGTTGGCATGGTTCTGCTTTGTGAATGAGTGTGATTGAACATTTGGATCTATCACCAACCCCTATTCACCAACCCTGTTGCTTGTGTACATAGTGCCCAGCTCCTTAAGAGTTTAATTTGTACAAGTCAACAATTCATGTATTGCGGTTTGAAGAAAGCCTATACTTGTATAATCACCTTTTCTCAACAGTGTTTTAAATTCTGTAACATTGGTTAAATTAATGACACTATGATTGAATGACCTATAATGTTCTCTATCATATAATGATAATGATGTCTCTAAAGTGAGCCAGAGACATATGGTTTACATAACCCCATGAATAGATTTGGGACTTACATTTAATTATAGCCAGAACTAAGAACAGTTAGGTCTTAGGACAGGAGCCTACTCTATACTCACTCTCATGAAGAGATCCCTGAAGATATAGGTGCTATAGCAAAGTGTGGTGAAGAAATCAGATGATCTTGGGTTTTTAGTAAGACTAGCATCTGGGGTCTTAAAGGCTTGTCTTCAAACAAACAGCCATCCAAATGGAGGGGCAACCAAATCCATATGGAAGAAGCACACGAGCTTGTGTGATCCATGGATTGTAAATAATAAAATCCAAATCTGAAGAAGGGAATGGTATCAGTGCTTAAATCGTAAACACCTGGTTTGAAAAAGGCCCTGAATGGCAGTGGAAGCCCAAAATCCATTTGCAGGGTCTACACATGGATCAAGCCTTCTGTGAATCCCCTCTGACCACAGTCCAGAGATGTGAATAGCCTTCCTATCAGATAGAGAGTATTGTAAAATCAAATAGGGCAGTAGTTGGGTTAAAATGTAATGGCTTGTCATTTGATCTTCCTTTTGACCCATTTTAAAATGATTTTCACTTTTAATATTGTCTGCTTTCTTTTAGATATGAGGTCTTTCTATATTTCAACTAGGTGTTGATGTTGGGTTTGCTTGCTTTGTGTTTGTATTTTGTATGATTTTCTGTCTATGAAATCCAGGATAGGTAAATCTAGAGAGACAGACACTGGATTACTAATTACCTGAGGGCATGGCAGGGGAGGATTGGGGGAATGGAGAGTCAACAACAATGGGTAAGAGAAGAAAATGTTCTGAAATTGATTGTGATGATGATGGCACACCCCTCTTAGGACTGCATAATTACATTGCATGTTCTGTGAAGTATATTCCCCTAAAACTATTTTGAAAAGGTTACAGCTGTGGAAACCATATGCTTCCAAAGGGAAAGGTCTACCCTGTCCTACAGGGTGTGTTTCTGAATCAAGTCAAATGGTTTGTTTGTTTTATTTGTTTGGTAAGAGATTTATGGCACATGACCAAAGGCAAGCTCTCAATCTTGTTTGGTATCTGATGCAAACCAACCAACCACATCGAGGCATTTTTGAAACAACTGGGGCAACCAGAGGACCACCGAAATATTGGAGAGTATTATAGAGATTTACTGTAATTCTGTTACATGTGGTAATGGAATGATGGGACAGTGTTGTAAAGATCTTATCTGTTAGTGATACACACCGAAATATTAGCTAGTGAGATTATATTCCATTCAGATTGGCTTTCAAATACTGTCGTCGGAAGGGAAAGGGAGGTCGGTGAATGAGTGTGACGAGATGTGGCTCATTGGTGAAGCAGGATGATGGGCCCCACGGGGTTCATTAAATGACCCTCATCGCTTTTTGCTTGAAACTTTCTTTAATAAGCAATGAAGAGCTAGAAATGAAAAAGAACAAAAATCCCTGTGAGAGAGGATTCTTTATCCTGCCTCACCGAGAAAGAAGCCCAGTCAGTTGACCCAAGAGCACAGCGAAATCAACCGAAATGAAATTTAAACCATGGTCTCTCTGACCCCAGATTCAGGGTTGTTTCCATCAAAGGGAAGGGTGATTTCCCTCAAGGGCAAGAGCACCAGCAACCAAAGCCTGTATGCCCTGGCAAGGACCTGTCCTGGGTAACCACACAAAGAACTTCCACTTTGAACCAAGATCGCTTCCGGGGATACCCCCAAACCCTGCATTTATCCTGTGAGTTTGAATGAAAGGGACAGCGCACGCCAAGAATTTTCCTTCATATTATACGCCCTCTCAGACCGCAGCTCCAATGTCTATTTCTTGTGCGCAGAGTTGGTTTGGCCACCCAATGCTGCAAGCGGGCGCCTTGCACAAACGGAGGGAAAGGAATTCTGGGACCAATCCTCTGACTTCTCCTCTTGATGTCAAACTGCATCTAAACACTTGAAGTCAAACAACCACAGAGACAATAGCAATAGGTTTGCAAACCAGAGAGGGTCGCCATTGTTGTGAGATGGGGTTGTACTGATTTGATTACTACTCGGCAGCCCCATGGCACGGAGGCGAATTGCCTCATCAGGTTTTCCAAGCTGACCTCTCGACAGAAGCGGATCATCAGGTCTTTCCTCTATTTGAGCTGCTGGAGTACCCTAACCATCGACCTTTCCGTTAACTATTGTACTAGGACTCCTTCCAGGTGACTGTTGTTGTTAGATGCCAAAAAGTCCCCTCCAACTCACAGAGACCCTGTGCACAAAGAAAGAAAACCTGACCTGGTTCTGCTCCATCCTCACAGTTATTCTTGCTTGAGTCCATTGTTGCAGCCTCTGTGTCAATCCATCCATCCATCTGTGTCAATCCATCTTGTTGAGGACGATCCTCTTTTTCTACCCTTTGAGGTAGGATGAACCAGTTCCGTTCTCAGGAGTCAGTTCTGGCTCACCGTGACCAGATCAGAGTCAAGGCCAGCAAACGTCTGCCTGTGAGCCCAATCTGCCCTTTTACCTGTTTGTAGCACCCACGAGCTAAAAATGGATTTTACTTTTTTTAACAGATCAGAGTAATAATAGCATCGCACAACACGTGAAAATAATACACACTGCCATCGAGTTGATGCTAACTCACAGAGACTCTGTAGGACAGGGTAGAACTGCCCCTGTGAGATTCAGAGTCTGTAACTCTTTACCGGAGTAGAAAGCACCATCTTTCTCCCTCAGAGTGGC